TTGGTTGTAACATGACAAAATGTGGAATATTTCAAGGGGTATGAAAACTTTTTTAAGGCACTGTACTTCTGAGAATCAGAAGGTACACATTTGAGGTAAAATGGATTTCTGAGCACTATCTGATAAAAAAATAAATGTTTTTTATCCCTCATTTTAGGATATTAGGTGAAACCATGCAAATCATCCTTTTATGCTTCTGTTGCCAAATGTCCATCTTTAAACGTTTGTTTATAGTACAATTACAGCCTAAAAATATAGAACCATTCCTTTTAGCCCACATCTCTATAAGGTGTCTATTTGTTCCATTGTCTTGATCAATAAGCCCCGCGCCATAGAATCCAGGGGTCCATACACTGCACTGATAACAGCCAACTAGCCTGAAACAGCGATATGTAATTTGGAATAAATTACTCTATAATGTTATGTAGCGTAGGAGGCACAGGAATACTGTCCAGGTCTTCCCCACAAGCTCTTTCCTGCAACCAGGCACATAGGCTCACTCACAGGTTTCTTCAATGACCAGTCTAGGGGGGTGTTTTTTTTTTGTTCTTTTTTAATTTTTGGGGAACTTGGATAGAGTTTAGGGAGGTGAGTGGGATAACCACAAAAACAAGAACTATGTATACTTGAGGACTTTCTATAATCTTCAGGACAAATGATGTTAAAGTCCATGCTTGCAATAAACAGTGGGCTTCAGATTTAAGACAGTAGTAGTTTAGAGCCCAAGAACAGCTTCCGTTTTGTGGAAGGAGGATGGATGGACAAAGCTCTTCAAGACACCAGCCGCTCTGCCCTTTAGCTAGAGCCGCAGCTGACTCCCTAGCACCAGAGGTGTTAAAGCAATACAAAGTCTCTAAGATCCTTTAACGGTGTCTGTTATCACAAGGCCCAAAAGCAACTGGATGCCTTCCTTGTGATACCAGACCAGATCTTCAGTAGATGGCCCCTCAGTCAGCTTTAGCATAACCCGGGTTTCAGCATTCCAGCCCTCAGGTCAACCACTTAAGGCTGCATGGTAGTAGGCATTTGTGAGGGCAAGGGTGGGTAGTAGGCGTTTTGGGAAGGCTGTTTGATCCTGTCTTCTCTGATTCTCCCCTTCTTCCACAGTCCCCAATCCATCTGGTGATAGTACAGAGGTCTAACAGTCACTGCACATGCTTAGTCTGGTGTGTATTGCTAGAGGTTTTTTTTCTTTGGGAGGATGCATGTGATCTGCACAGGGCCAATCAGCACTGTCCATACAGAGGGTCAGGGGTCATGCAACCTCATACAACAGTCAAGGAATGAAAACTCCTCCTACAAGATTATCAGTGCTTGGCTGGACACTGATAGAAGTCACAAGACTGCTGATAAAAGAAGGCATTTAGCAGTTTATATTTACTAAAATAATTAAATTTCTATGTTCTGTGTACTGTGGAAGACAGATATAGTGAATGCAGAGTCCTGGGTTTTAGTTTTGTTTGGACTATTCATTATGTAGTGCTAGTGGTCAGGGTGAGAACTGTGATCTTGTTACAAAATTAACATTTCAAATTCAAAATTTGTTTTTAATATTCAAAACAAACTCACCCATCCATGTCTGTATGCTTTATTTTGCTGCAAAATCACTTTGAAGCCCCCCCCCCCCTACTGCCGCATTTCTGACCATGGCCATCTTGAGTACGGGCATATGATTCATGTAGAAGCTACTTTCTGGAATCCAACTGCCTTTAGCTCAGGCATGCAGGCAGGAGGGTGTGCTTAGCTTAGAAAACACCTGCTCCCCACCTGAAGACTCCAGGAATGTATGACATTATTTGCCTAGGCCTGGAAACCAGGAAGTAACTGAAGAAATGTAGCAAACTTTTAAATTAAGCACAGTAAATATGATATATTTTTCTATCTATTTACTAATGCTAGCCGCATATGAATTAATAATAGTCAATGTTGATTGAGAGAGTGGAATTCTACTTTAAATAAGACAGCACCCAGTTAAGATATATAATACTAATGCAAATTATGAAATATCTAAAGTCATTTTTTCAAATAATATATAATTATAATATAGTTATAATAATAATTATAATGGACCTTGTACCCAGGACAGGTCTTAAATAGTTTAAAAGAGCTTCACTACTCCCGACTAGCCATATAAAGCCCATTACATTCTTAAAACCACTACCTGTGGAAGTTTACCTCTTCCCTAGTTTTCCTCATGCTTAGTTTTCATCATCCCTAATTGTCAGCTTGAAAAGCTGACTTACAGAGCTCATGAGTGTGTACCACAGCTAAGTCAGCTAAGTCAGATAGTTGCCTGGCCCATGAAAGAAACCCATCCTTGATCATCTCAGTACAACAGAAGCCTCTCACTTTCTGCTGTGCGTCCCCATCCAAGTGCAACACATAGAAAACCTGCTGGAAAACATTCATCTGGGCTCGGCAAGCAGGCTGGCTGGATTTTAGCACCTGCGAATACAGAAAGAGTGAGGACATTGGAACTCATGTGCAGATATATCATCACCAGGCTCCCCAAAAAATTAAACTTGCTGGTTAGTTATACAAACAAAGAATATTTCAGTATTAAATACACTGGCTCTTTCGGCAAAACCTGTTTTGTTTGGTTATGTATTAAAGAATAAATAAATGCAGCATAAATACTAAAAGTATAAGTAACTAAAGACTGTCCCTATATTATCTTCTATGAATCTCTTGAAGACCAGAACTCAAACTGATAGGATATGTACTGTAATGCAGTCAGGCTTTGTAGCATCGCATGATTTAAAGCTGAATTCCAGGCACAAAAACCTTAATTGAAATATATCCCTCAATAGCCACAATGGATGTAAATCCATTTTGTGTGCATCAGATGCCTTTGGAAACCTAGACAGTACTTTATGCAAACCTAGATATTACTGTGAAAAAGTATTGCCGACATCATCACTGTTCGGTGCATCGCCTGTGCAGATAGCAGAGCTGTAGGAGGGTCACAGCAGGTCCACCCACTATAGCCTGTCTGTGAAAACGTCAGGGGAGAGTGGATACAAGAACTACAGGGGAGAATGGATACAAGAACTACAGGGGAGAGTGGATACAAGAACTACAGGGGAGAGTGGATACAAAAACTACAGGGGAGAGTGGATACAAGAACTAACTACAGGGGAGAGTGGATACAAGAACTACAGGGGAGAGTGGATACAAGAACTGCAGGGGAGAGTGGATACAAGAACTACAGGGGAGAGTGGATACAAGAACTACAGGGGAGAGTGGATACAAGAACTGCAGGGGAGAGTGGATACAAGAACTACAGGGGAGAGTGGATACAAGAACTACAGGGGAGAGTGGATACAAGAACTACAGGGGAGAGTGGATACAAAAACTACAGGGGAGAGTGGATACAAGAACTACAGGGGAGAGTGGATACAAGAACTACAGGGGAGAGTGGATACAAGAACTACAGGGGAGAGTGGATACAAGAACTACAGGGGAGAGTGGATACAAGAACTACAGGGGAGAGTGGATACAAGAACTACAGGGGAGAGTGGATACAAGAACTACAGGGGAGAATGGATACAAGAACTACAGGGGAGAATGGATACAAGAACTACAGGGGAGAGTGGATACAAGAACTACAGGGGAGAATGGATACAAGAACTACAGGGGAGAGTGGATACAAGAACTACAGGGGAGAGTGGATACAAGAACTACAGGGGAGAGTGGATACAAGAACTACAGGGGAGAGTGGATACAAGAACTACAGGGGAGAGTGGATACAAGAACTACAAGAAGAAGAACTACACATAAGACACCAAGATTCTAGTAAGAATATACCCGCTTTGTGTATTTAGACAATATTTGATTAGCTCAGCTTTAGGGCTGGAAGACGGCTTAAAAAAAAAAAAAGGAGAACATGAATGACCAAATTGTCCTTTAATTGATGCATAGGCTTGTGGGGTCGAGTTGGCCAAGGGAGCAGAACTCTTGCAGCCATTCTTTACAGTATAGTCACCCATCAGATGGGTGAGTAGCATTATCACAGTTTTGGTGAAAGGGGAAGTGTTGAGCTGTACACATTGGAGGCAGCCACAGTTATACCAGCAAGGTAGCTAAAATATATGGTGTGTAACATTGAAATCCTGAGATTATGATTTGTACCTTGAACTACCCTTTACTTAAGTACTAGTAACAAAGCCTGAGCTATTTTTCTTATATATTTCTAACATACATTGTGATAAGAACATCTTGAGATCATCTTTGAGAAACATTTCTTACCAAATACAATGCGCCCTTCCAATTCCAAAATAGCGATATCATAGTTGATTGGCTGGCTAGCAAGAAATTTGGGGTGCAGAATCACTCTGAGTATAGAGAAAACCATCTCAGAACTTTCTTTGACCATGAGATCATGGTCCCCAATACACACCTTAAAATTAGTTGTAAAGTTCCTGTGAAGACAAAGAAATCACCCAGACAAGATATGGGAACTAAAGAACAGGACAGAACAGAACAAATGTTAAAAAAAAAAAAGTTGTGATTAAAATAAGTACAGGTTAACCACTTGCCTACCGGGCACTTATACCCCCTTCTTTACCAGGCCAATTTTCAACTTTCAGCGCTGTCGCACTTTGACAATTTTTTTCTCACAAATAGAGCTTTCTTTGCTGGTATTTAATCGCTGCTGTGCACTTTACTTTTTGCGCTATAGACAAAAAAAGTGCAAAAAATATTTTTAAAAAAGTTTATTTATTTTGTGCGTTGATGAGGCAGCACTGATGAGCACTAATAGGTGGCACTGATAGGCACACTGATGGGCACTGATAGGCAGCACTGAAGGGCACTGATAGGCAGCACAAATGAGGTGTCATGGATAGGCGGCACTGATAGGTGGCACTGACTGCCATCACTGCTGGGCACTGACTGGCGGCACTGCTAGGCATTGACTAGCGCAACTGCTGGGCACTGACTGGCACAACCGCTGGGCACTGACTGGTGGCACTGACTGGTTGCACTGCTGGCAGCACTGCTGGGCACAGGTGGGTGCACTGGTCGGGCACAGGTGGGTGGCACTGCTGGGCACAGGTAGGTGGCACTGCTGGGCACAGGTAGGTGGCACTGCTGGGTGGCACAGGTGGGCGCAATGCTGGGCACAGGTGGGCGCAATGCTGGGCACAGGTGGGCGCACTGCTGGGCACAGGTGGGTGTACTGGGGCACAGGTGGGCAGAACTGGTGGGTGGCACTGCTGGGCACCGATCATCAGGGCACTGATCATCAGTGCCCTGATGATCAGTGCCGATCCCTGCTCTGACAACTGCCGTTTCTCGGTAGTACTTTCCTCGCGCTCTGACAGCGTAAGGAAAGTGCAGCCGAGAACCGGCAATTGGTCACAAAAAGGTCAATAATTCAACTGGTCTAGATCTAAGATATTGAGATCATGTTCCTGGTAGGTGGCCACATTACTTCCCCCCTCCTCCCCCCCCACACACCTCCCACCGCCCTATAAGGCCTCATCCACACTGGACGTTATAAATAGCCAGTAGTGTTAGCTGTAAAATGCTGCGTTACAAATGTGAGTTTTGTTGCTTTTTTTTAGCATTTTGTATTAGCGTTTTTCAGCATTTGCTAACAAAACTGTGTTTCCACAAATGCTTGATATTCAAAAACGCTCATAAATCCCAGATAGCCATGTTTTTCAGCATTAGAGTATTTTTACAGCTGAAACACTCCTCTTCAAACACAGTAGTTCTCAGGGGGTTTTCCAGCCTGACAATGCCCCTGCCATAAAACACTGACAAAAGTCTATGTGTGCATGGACACATAGGACAACATGCTGGGTAGTTTACCACCTGTAGAAAAAAACCACCTGACACCCAAAAGAGCAGCTCCAAAAATGCCCAGTGTGTATGAGGCCTTACACAGTTGTGATTATAAGTTTACACATCCCAGGCAGAGCTTGTACAATGGTGGCCATTTTTCTTGCACCAATGTCACATAAAAGCCCACTTATGGTACCCCTAACAGCACCAAGAGAAGCATTAAAAATTGTGGAACAAACTTATTTGGCGCAACAAAATGCTTGGATATGTTATGTTTGGATAGGAGTCAACAAGGCATATGAAGAAAAGCACACCATCCCTACAATGAAGTATTAAGGTGGATTCTTGCTGCACTGGGGCAGTGTGAGATACAGCAGAACAGGGAATTTAGTCCAAAACTGATGGCAAGACGAATGCATATTCAGAAAATGTTGGAGAAAATCTTTTGTTTTTCAGCCCCCTGTATGTGGAGCACACTTGGACTTTCCAGGATGACAATAATCCAATAAATGAAACCAAGTCAGCCCTTCAGTGATTGCATTAGAAAAAAAGATGAAGGTTCTGAAATGACCATCACAATCTCATGACCTCAATATTATTTAGCCCCTTTAGAGAGATCTCAAACATGTAGTTTATGCTGGACAGTCAAAAGATTTACAAGACCTAGAGGCTTTTTACCAACCAAAACTGCCAGTTTTACAAAATGACAAATAAAGAGACTCAACCGCTATTTCAAAAGATTGCAAGCTATCACTGATGCTAAAGCAGGCAATATATGGTAATAAGAACTAAGGGTATGCAAACTTTTGAACATGATCATTTTATTTTTTTCTTTGATTGTGCTATTCTGTGATGCTCAATTGTTTAAGATGAATCACATTAAAAATAAAGTAAATGTGTATGGTGTGATCACTCACATTTTCTTTAAAAAAAAATGGTCCACTTCCTACAAATTCTTAATGCGCATAAATGTCTAACAAAGTACATAATTTTAGAACTTTTTACATATTAACTTGTTCATTTGGGTGTTTTACGATTAATAGGATTTTGTACTTGTAGTATATGATGTTAAGATGCTAGCTATAGGTCATTTGAATTGTTAACCTAGATGGATAATTAAGATAGGGAATACATGTAGTTGGATTGATAGTGCCACTCCCTACAGGCTCCAGAAGAAGTCCAGATTGGAAAAAAATGCGTAGCGCTTGGAAGCAATGTAATGTTTTACACTGGTTGAGGCACAGAGACGTAGCACTCTGGGTGTGTGTCTTGAGGCACATGGGGTTTATGTTGATGCTTTCTCACAGAAAAGGAATACAGTGAGGAACAGAAGTATTTGAACACCCTGCGATTTTGCAAGTTCTCCCACTTAGAAATCATGGAGGGGTCTGAAATTCACATTGTATGTGCATTCCTACTCTGAGAGACAGAATTTTTTAAAAAAATTCAGGAAATCACATTGTATGATTTTTAAAGAATTTATTTGTCTTGCACTGCTTAACATAAGTATTTGAACACCTGAGAAAATCAGTGTTAGTGGTTACAGGAGAAATACATTCATATTTTTCTCCTGTAACCACTGAAGAGTCAACCTGGCCTTTTGGTTAGGGTCATTATCATGCTGGAAAGTCCAAGAACATCCCATGAGAAGCTTTCATGCAGAAAAATGCAAACTGTCTGCCAATATTTTCTGGTAACATGCCACATTCATCTTGCCATCAATTTTCACAAGATTCCACCATGCTACACATGTGCAGCTCAGTGTACACATAAAAGAGATTTGGGAGCAGAAACCTTTCAATTTTTTGTAAACAAGTTTACTTCTGCTTAAAGGAAAGTAAAATTAAAGTTTGGAATTGTATCTCCAAAAGGATCTAAATGGTCTGTTTTAGTAGCATGTTTATCTATATTGGAGAACCCATGTTTTAATATAAGACCTTTCTTTTGATAGGGGGCCATCAAATAAAGTGAGTTTTCTAACCTCGAAAAAAAAAAAAAGAAAAGAAATGAAGATTAAAAGGCTGTGTAGATGGGTTTTTGTTTGCTTCTGTTGGGATATGCATTCCCATACAAGCCTATGACAATGCAAAGCAGGTCAAATGCAGGACAGACAGAAGTCAACTGCAGGTCAAATGTCTATGTATTCTGAATGATCTCAGAAGTGTTTCACACTGATGTCATTAACACAAGCCTGTCAACACAAGCTACAATAATACTCATCAGTCTCACTGCTGGTAACTCCAATCTTCACTCTCTTGCAGAGCTACACCAATTCAGGTACCTTCAGCACCTGCAACTTCTGGGTGTGTGGAATGCCTTCACACTTACTGTGAATAATGGACCCAGCACCTGGATGCTACATCACTGCGTTGCTGCAATTCCCCACCTCCCTACAGGTCCAGGGCTTCGGTGAAATTCCAGTGAGCTTGGGAAACGTGGTGGTAGGGGGGGGCGGTGGATTTGGGAGGCAGGCACCGCCTTCACTGCCATGCAGAGATGAACAATTTAAGGTGTTTGGGTGGTCAACGGAACTCTCACTGCTTTCCATTCTGAGAACGTTTTTAGGTGTCCTTGGAAATCTTACATGGTGAGCAAATTCTCACTGCACTCCAATTTGAGAATGGTTTTGGATGGCAGGGGGCCCACCTGAATTTTGTGGGAGCCCAGGACATCAAAGCATGTGGGGGGTTGGTGTTCAAAAGGGTGTTTTCTTACCTTTACTGTCACATAGAAATGATAGGGCAGTACTAAATACACATGCAACAATCTTAATCACATAAGTACAAAGAGGATATATAGTCTTACTTGTCAGTTATGCAGTGAGCAGCTGTAATGACATGCTTGTCGCTAACAATGGTTCCCCCGCAAACATGTTGTGATTTTCGTTTTATAGATACCTGAGCAAGATAAATTGTAATAAAAAAAAAAACTTAAACATACTTTTAATTCATAGACACCATTCATAACTTTTTATATAGTACATAGGTTCAAAATAGACATGTCAATGTTGCTCAAACAAAATAAAGAACAAAGCAAAAAAACACACAAAAAAAGATTGTGCAACTTTAATATCCTCTTCCTTTAGCTGAGCCAGAAAACGAAAAAAAAAAACAACAATATTAACTACCTGGGTGCCATGTTCAAACTTTACAGGTACAGTGGCTGTTTTCTCCAATGCCTTTTTAACCACTTTCCATCCCTTCGCCATTTATAAGCGATAGCAAGTTGAATTGGTTTTACTGGGATTATGACTGGCATTGTTTTCTTTGGAGCCTCTCTTGTTAGTAAAAGTAATCCGAGCGGCTATACAGTTGCTGGATTACTTTTACTGGTGGTGGAAGGGGGCTCCCCCACCGCATTCTCCTTTACCGGGCATTCCCGTCTGATCAGGGAGCCTGGTAAGGATGCAGCCGGTAGCATCTGATTCCTGGAACACAGTGAGATGAACTGATGTTGTTCCTCCCACTGTGTGACGTCAGAAATCGGAAGCAACAAGGATTTAATCACTTCCGGATTCAATCTCATGCAAACAAGCCATTACTGGTTTGTGAAAGCATGAAAACATCTGATCAAACCAATCCTAAGTTTGATCTGATGTTTTTGAGGCCAGAGGAGAGCTATGGGGATTCATAGACCCCAGATCTCTCCATAAAAGGACCTGTCATGGCCCATGCTATCACAATGATGAGACTGCACCGATATGTGGCACTGATGAGCACTGATAGGCATCACTTATGGGCACTGACAGCTAGCACTGATGGGCACTATTGGTTGCACTGATGAGGCTACAATGATCATCAGGGCACTGATGATCAGTGCCCTGATGATCAGTGTAGACGTCCCCCTGAGAAATGCCGCTTTCCGGCTCTCCTCTCCTCATGCGCTGTCAATGCGATAACCAGCATTTCCTATTTGCACGGTGATCAGCTGTGAATGGATACAGCTGATCACATGGTAAAAAGGTGGTCCTTTACCTGGACACAGCAATCACAGATCACACATGGTGTGCACCCCAGCGGATGCGCGGGGAGTGTGATTCTGTGAGGACGGCAATGGATGCCCTCCCAGAACAAGCAAACTGCGCTGTAGCCATATTTTGGCTATAGCGTGGTCAGGAACTGTGTACCATAGTTGGTCTGCATTCCACAGGCATGGGCAATTTTACAACATTACATGTTTGGTATCTATTTTATCATCTCATATTTTATATTTTACAAAAAAAATGGCTTTTAAAATTACGCCTATGGAGATTTTTAGGCCCCCAATGGCATAGACAATTTTAAAGCATGACATGTTTGGTATCTATTTACTGAGCATAACATCATCTTTTATATTTTACCAAACAATTGGGTATTATATTGTGTTGTGTTTTTTGCAGTGTTAAAATTCATTAAAGTATCTTTTTTCCAGAAAAATTGCATTTGAAAAACGGCTGAGCAAATTTTGTGTGACATAAAAATATGCAACATGCACCATTTTATTCTCTAGCCTCTGCTTAAAAAATATATAATGTTTAGGGGTACCAAGTAGTAATTTAGCAAAAAAATAATGATTTTTACAGGTAGGA